GACAGAGCTCATTAACATCTTCCCACGCCCCCCCCCCCCTTCCCGCCCCTGGACACTTCCCTAAGGTATAATGCGGAAGAGAAGAAGAAGAAGAAGGTTCCCATGTACACTTTGGGAATCTTCAGTTTGATTATGTCCTCCCCCCCCCCCCCCCCCCCACCCATTCCACCCACACACACACACACACACACACAAACACACCCCTTTTACACCACCTTCCCCAGCAATAGTTTAATATCGGCTTTCTTGATACCCTGTTTCACATAATCATATATATATATATATATATATATATATATATATATATATATATATATATATATATATAATAAATTTATATTTATACTAAGATTGTAATAATTTTAATAATAATTTTTGCATCTGCGCATTTAAACATGTGTTGTGTGTAATTCGTGCATCTTCATAATAACACTTCGTTTTTTTTTGGGGTAAATAATTCAGCTGGTTTGCTTGACAGTGAAGGACTGCCCATGATTATCTGTGTTTGTTTTACAGTGAAGGACCGTCAATGATTATCTGTGTTTGTTCTACAGTGAAGGACTGTCCATGATTATCTGTGTTTGTTTTACAGTGCAGGACTGTCCATGATTATCTGTGTTTGTTTTACAGTGCAGGACTGCCCATGATTATCTGTGTTTGTTTTACAGTGCAGGACTGTCCATGATTATCTGTGTTTGTTTTACAGTGCAGGACTGCTCATGATTATCTGTGTTTGTTTTACAGTGCAGGACTGTCCATGATTATCTGTGTTTGTTTTACAGTGCAGGACTGCTCATGATTATCTGTGTTTGTTTTACAGTGCAGGACTGTCCATGATTATCTGTGTTTGTTTTACAGTGCAGGACTGTCCATGATTATCTGTGTTTGTTTTACAGTGCAGGACTGTCCATGATTATCTGTGTTTATTTTACAGTGAAGAACTGTCCATGATTATCTGTGTTTGTTTTTCAGTGCAGGACTGTCCATGATTATCTGTGTTTGTTTTACAGTGCAGGACTGTCCATGATTATCTGTGTTTGTTTTACAGTGCAAGACTGTCCATGATTATCTGTGTTTGTTCTACAGTGCAGGACTGTCCATGATTATCTGTGTTTGTTTTACAGTGAAGAACTGTCCATGATTTTCTGTGTTTGTTTTACAGTGCAGGACTGTCCATGATTATCTGTGTTTGTTTTACAGTGCAGGACTGTCCATGATTAGCTGTGTTTGTTCTACAGTGAAGGACTGTCCATGATTGTCTGTGTTTGTTCTACAGTGAAGGACTGTCCATGATTATCTGTGTTTGTTCTACAGTGAAGGACTGTCCATGATTATCTGTGTTTGTTCTACAGTGAAGGACTGTCCATGATTATCTGTGTTTGTTCTACAGTGAAGGACTGTCCATGATTATCTGTTTTTGTTCTACAATGAAGGACTGCAGATGATTATCTGTGTTTGTTTTGCAGTGAAGGACTGCCCATGATTATCTGTGTTTGCCCTACAGCGAAGGACTGCCCATGATTATCTGTGTTAACTCTACAGTGAAGAACTGCCCATGATTATTTCACAAGCTGATCTGTGCTTATTGTTTTCAGAGTTGGGAGAACAGCCCCGAGAACCTCCCCTGACTCGTCTAATAGCCAGTGGTTTTATATCCCATGATAATGCCCAGTGCATGAACCCACGTCATTTGACGGCCACTCCTATGGTGAAATGAGAACAGATGGAAATGAGAACAAACACTGGAGCCATCAGATGATCTGACAGTGATTATATGTTACATAATGAGCTTTGTTTTCATTATTTTTATTTCTTTCTCTGGTGCTAATCATTGGCAGACAACGACCAGACGAACGCCCGAACGAACTTTTTTTCAAAGGGTGAAAAATGGACACGCAGGTCCGTCTTTAATTCGGGACTTTCAAATACACACACACAGTCATAAACAGACACACACATATGGACATACACAGTGATATATCTTCTTCTTTTGTCAAAATCTGCTTGTGCCGCTAGGCTATCAGATGATCGGCAACCGAGCCAGGGCGCGCTCAGTCGCTTCATATGCCGTGATGTTATGAAGTCTCAAGTTGTCCGTGACTCCTTCAATCCATCTTCTTCTTGGTCTTCCCCTGCCTCTTGGTGTTTCGATTTTCATGTTGTATGCTCTTGATGCTGGCATCGTTGGTTCCATTCTCATTAGGTGACCAAACCATTTCATTCTTTGCTTCTCAATAAATTTAACGATGGGTATGGTTCCAATAGTTCTTGTAATCACATCGTTTCTCACTCGATCTCTTCTGGTTTTATTCTCAGCCATTCTCAAACATCTCATTTCACAGGTGGTTAGTCTTCTCTCGTGTTCTTTTGTTAATGTCCAGTCTGACATTGATAACCTAATGTCGGTATAAAGATTGTATTTATAATTTGTCTTTTTATCTCAGCTGGGACAGCAGGGTGTTTTAAAATTGGGGCAAGCTGGTATGTGACATTGTTGGCTTGTTGGATTCTTGCTTCAATCTCTCTGTCTATTTTACCATTGAATGTAAAGATACTTCCCAAGTATTTATATTCTTGCACTTGTTTAAGGCTGTGATCTAGAATCTTTATGTCGATGGTCTGTTGCTCACTGCTTATGCTCATGACTTCTGTCTTTTCAGTATTGATCTTCATTTGATGCTTGAGGCAACTGTCGTGTAGAAGGTTGATGTGGTCTTGCAGCTGTTTACTATCACTGTGAAATAGGCATTGATCGTCGGCAAAGAGCAGCTCATTGAAGTCCTCCTGTTTATCGACATCTGTTGGTGTTATGTCTATTTTATTAATATTGTCCATAAATATTATGAAAAGTAAAGGTGATAATACACAACCTTGTCTTACTCCTGATGTTACTGGGAACCAGTCTGTGATGCCAGCTCTTGTTCTAATGGCGCTTTCACTTTGTCTATAAATAGCCCTAACACAATCTAAAATTGTTCCATTTATACCGTAGTTTTCAAGAACTTTCAATAACAAATTTATGTTTACTCTATCGAAAGCTTTTTCTTGATCTATGAAAGCGATGTTCATTTGATGTCTGTGTTCTATTGTACAGTGATATATATATATTTATATATATATATAAAACACTAAAACAGACAGACACACACACACTCGCACACAAACAGACATACACAAACACACAGAGAGACACACGCACACGCAGATATTATCAAATAAAGACACGCACAGATATACACTAAGCCACACACACAGACACATACAGGCATCGGCACACGCAGACAAACACACAGATATACTGAATTATAGCGCCTTTGAAACACATGACTAAAAAAATAAACCTTGCGCGAATGAACGTGAATGTGTGTAGGTAGGTGGCTTTACAGATTCCATCTCCTTATGATTTTAGCATTTACAATTGGGCAAATGCTGCTGTTTTCTTTTTGCGGCGAATTTCTATGATCTTAAACTGCCGACTAATTTGTGTATTCAGTAACTGACATAGGCGTGTAGATTGTGTATTCAGTAACTGACATAGGCGTGTAGATTGTGTATTCAGTAACTGACATAGGCGTGTAGATTGTGTATTCAGTAACTGACATAGGCGTGTAGATTGTGTATTCAGTAACTGACATAGGCGTTGTGTAGGCGTTCGTTGTTGTATTCAGTAACTGACATAGGCGTGTAGATTGTGTATTCAGTAACTGACATAGGCGTGTAGATTGTGTATTCAGTAACTGACATAGGCGTGTAGATTGTGTATTCAACAACTGTAGGCATCTTTACAAGAGGAAAGCCAGTGCTATAGCTGACCAACTGAGAGAGTAAAACACCTACGAAACACGCGCAGTCTGATGTTGGGAAACGTTCCCTTTATTCGATTACGTCTGCTTTGAATCGGTTTCTGTTTTTGCATAAACCGCAAATAAAGCAAAATAAAAAAAACTAATTGCTTGTTTACACTTTAAAAAAAAAATTCTGACAAGCACATACTTATTGACGGGTTAGATGCCAAATTTTAACAAATTGTGACAGCGAACAGTTCCTGAATTACAGATTATTAAAGTTGGCACGATTGCCAGAACAGACTATCATTGAATTAATTCAAGTTGCAATAGTAGCACAGATTCTATGCTCAGTTTACCACAGCGCAGCATTGTGAACATTTGACCACCTGGTGTGTCGGAGCATTGTGAACATTTGACCACCTGGTGTGTCGGAGCATTGTGAATATTTGACCACCTGGTGTGTCGGAGCATTGTGAATATTTGACCACCTGATGTGTCGGAGCATTGTGAATATTTGACCACCTGGTGTGTCGGAGCATTGTGAACATTTGACCACCTGGTGTGTCGGAGCATTGTGAATATTTGACCACCTGGTGTGTCGGAGCATTGTGAATATTTGACCACCTGGTGTGTCGGAGCATTGTGAATATTTGACCACCTGGTGTGTCGGAGCATTGTGAACATTTGACCACCTGGTGTGTCGGAGCATTGTGAACATTTGACCACCTGGTGTGTCGGAGCATTGTGAATATTTGACCACCTGATGTGTCGGAGCATTGTGAATATTTGACCACCTGGTGTGTCGGAGCATTGTGAACATTTGACCACCTGGTGTGTCGAAGCATTGTGAATATTTGACCACCTGGTGTGTCGGAGCATTGTGAATATTTGACCACCTGATGTGTCGGAGCATTGTGAATATTTGACCATCTGGTGTGTCGGAGCATTGCTGCAACAGTCTTCAGTTTACCCTTAGCTCGGACACAGCAGAAACAACACGATCAAGACACTGTTAACACTCTCTGTACAAGACGCTACCCAACAGTGTCATTATACACGCACCTGTTCGGCTACATGGACCGGGCTTGATGATAAGATAACAGTCTGAGATCATCTCTGTTCTTGTTAATCAGGTGTCTTCGAGTTAATACTCGCACGCTAGCACAATCACACACGCACCCACATACAACCACACGCAGTTTGACTTCCAAGATGGCCACAGAATCATTGTTGTTGTCTTTGCTGAGTGTTTGTGTGCTGTTCTCATGTGGTATGTACACCCCTACACATATCAAAGCATATTCTTAATACCTACCGTAATTGAAAATAATACTGATTATTTCTTTTAAAATATTTGTGCATCTTGTATTTTACTATCAACAGGTATCGACAGGTATCGACAGGTATTCTTGTGGTTGCCATTTTACCCACGAAACCCTTGCCTTTTTGGACTACTATTTATTGATGTATTTTTATGTACAACGTTTGTATGTGCTGAATCGCTGTGACCACAGACTCGATATATGTGTGATGACAACACATAATGTATGCTCCCTCTGTCAACTGCCCATATTTATGTGCGGATTCAACCCCCCTCCCTCCCCCCTCCCATTTCTTCCCAGTAATCAATAAATTGTGCGATTACTGATAGGGCCACTTGAGCCCGACTAAAAGTCCCTGTATCTTCTCCTCTGTGGCTTGAAAACCAATTAGGGCATCTGCTTACTCCCCAATCACTCAATCCCTTGAGGTATGGACACTCCGACTGCACTATTCCACTTCCCCATTTCATCCCACATAACCTTCCTCTTCATCATAAAGTAGCTTATTACCCAGAGAAGTGGCAGTTTTCCATACACCAGAATTGTATGTGTAGAAAATCCATTAAATAAGACCTGTTAAGCGATGAGAGGGCACAGACTGTAGGACACCAGTCTCCATTTCATTTCTCCTTACTGTCATTTGCCCCGACTAGATTTACATTACTGTGACAGGTTACATTGCCCGTGAAAATACTGGCTGGAAGACAGAGAACCTATGGGTATGTCCGGTGTGTTATGATGTCGATTCTTAAATTAGTAAACTAGTAACATAGCATTAACAACAGGTACACGCATTTCCATGAACTCACATCGTTATGTCCTTGAAACTGACTCATCATCATTATCGCGAACATTTTGTTCTTCTTCTCTTCTTCTTCTTCTTCTTCTTCTTCTTCTTCTTCTTCTTCTTCTTCTTCTTCTTCTTCTTCTTCTTCTTCTTCTTCTTCTTCTTCTTCTTCTTCTTCTTCTTCTTCTTCTTCTTCTTCTTCTTCTTTGTCGTCTTCTTCTTCTTCTTCTTCTTCTTCTTCTTCTTCTTCTTCTTCTTCTTCTTCTTCTTCTTTTTCTTCTTCTTCTTCTTCTTCTTCTTCTTCTTCTTCTTCTTCTTCTTCTTCTTCTTCTTCTTCTTCTTCTTCTTCTTCTTCTTCTTCTTCTTCTTCTTTGTCGTTTTCGTCTTCTTCTTCTTCACGCATGCACGCACGCACACTCTCACACACACAGACTCACAAAACAATATCGTCTGGAAAGACGGAAAGGTGCGAATTAACCAGGGATACGTATGTTGTCTACACATTGTCCTTGTCTCAGTCGACAGCCAGTTCTGCCGAGAAGGTTGGCAGTCATTTGGGGATTCGTGCTACGGTTTTGGCGAGTCCACCACAGCCTGGGGAGCTGCTGAAGTAAATGCTTTTATGTTAGTTCTTCTCAAAGTAGACAGACAGTGCACAGACAGACAAATTTCAGCAGTTTACATGTGAAAAACTGACGGTATGTGGTACTGGTAATTTAAACAAATATTGGACAATGAGAAAAAACGCAAAGCGCCTAATGTGAGAATTAATGCAATAACTTTAACTGGGGATAAGACACAACACAATCGCAATGTGACATTAACACATGCTAGGAATAAATGAATGCAGGACTCGAGGCTTGGGATCACTGCACTCCAGATCTGAGTCGTATCAAGTTAGGCAAGCATCTCTTTGCATACGCCAGTGTCAACTTTCCTAAGCCTGCTCTATGAGTCCGTGACCATTACATGTCGTTCTGTGCTGTTCTCTAGTCACCTGAAAGCTGCCGTTGCCGCCTCCACCTCCATTCTTATACTGGATGTTGTGACTCTTTACGTCAGGCTTTCTGTTTCCAAACACGGCATATTGACCTTTGCTATAAAATACTACCCACTTTGACTGGGTTTACTAGTTCACCACAGAAGCAGAAAACTGAAGTTGGTCATGCATACAACATTTAGTTTACAACAGAAGCGAAAACTGAAGTTGGTGATGCATACAACATTTAGTTCACGACAGAAGCAGAAAACTAAAGTTGGTGATGCATACAGCATTTAGTTCACGACAGAAGCAGAAAACTGAAGATGCATACAGCATTTAGTTCACGACAGAAGCAGAAAACTAAAGTTGCATACAGCATTTAGTTCACGACAGTTCATTGAAACGTAGGGAACATACAACATAACTTGTTCATACAGAAGTAGTGCAGTTGGTGTGTCATTTAGTTCACGACAGAAGAAAACTGAAGTTCTACAGCAGGACTCATAGATAATGAAAAAGAAAAAAGAAATCCAGTTAGACGACAAAAGAAACTGGAAATGTGACCAGGAGTACACAAACCATGAAAAACAGCAGTTGGTATTATAAGAAGCAGCAGTTGGTAGCACATTTCGATCACGATAAAGCAGAAAACTGAAGTGCTAGATACAGCATTTAGTTCACGACAGATATGAAAATGAAGTATCCTAGACGACAGAAAGATATGAATAGTAGCCTAGATACAGAAAGAATATGAATAGTATCCTAGATACAGGAAGATATGCATACAGCTAGACGACAGAAGCAGATATGAATAGTATCCTAGATACAGAAAGAATATGAATAGTATACCTAGATACAGAAGCAGATATGAATAGTATCCTTTAGTTACAGAAAGATATGAATAGTATCCTAGATACAGAAAGATATGAATAGTATCCTAGATACAGAAAGATATGAATAGTATCCTAGATACAGAAAGATATGAATAGTATCCTAGATACAGAAAGATATGAATAGTATCCTAGATACAGAAAGATATGAATAGTATCCTAGATACAGAAAGATATGAAAAGTATCCTAGATACAAACAGTCAGGCATAGCTTTCTAGATACACGAAGATAGGAACAGTATCCTAAATACAAAAAGACAGGAATAGTATCCTAGACCAAAAAAAAAAAAGCAGCATCCTAGATACAGAAAGACAGGAATAGCATCGTAGATACAAAAAGACAGGAATAGTATCCTAGATATAAAAAAAGACAGGAATAGCATCATAGATACAGAAAGACAGGAATAGCATCATAGATACAGAAAGACAGGAATAGCATCATAGATTCAGAAAGACAGGAATAGCATCATAGATACAGAAAGACAGGAATAGCATCATAGATACAGAAAGACAGGAATAGTATCCTAGATACAGAAAGAAAGAAACAGTATCCAAATATAGAAAGACAGGAATAGTATCCTAGATACAAAAAGACAGGAATAGCATCATAGATACAGAAATAAAGGAGTGGTATCTTAGATACAGAAAGACAGGAAGAGTATCCTAGATACAGAAAGACAGGAATAGCATCCTAGATACAGAAAGACAGGAAAAGTATAATAGATACAGAAAGACAGGAATAGCATCATAGATACAGAAAGACAGGTATAGCATCATAGATACAGAAAGACAGGAATAGCATCATTGATTCAGAAAGACAGGAATAGCATCATAGATACAGAAAGAAGGGAATAGCATCATAGATACAGAAAGAAGGGAATAGCATCATAGATACAGGAAAACAGGAATAGCATTATAGATACAGAAAGACAGGAAGAGTATCCTAGATACAGAAAGACAGGAAAAGTATCCCAGATACATAAAGACAGGAACAGTATCCTAGATACAGAAAGACAGGAATAGCATCACGGATATAGAAAGACAGGAATAGCATCATAGATACAGAAAGACAGGAATAGTATCCTAGATACAGAAAGACATTAATAGTATCATAGATACAGAAAGACAAGAATAGCATCATAGATACAGAAAGACGGGAATAGTATCCTAGATACAGAAAGACAGGAATAGCATCCTAGACACAGAAAGACAGGAAAAGTATCCTAGATACAGAAAGACAGGAATAGTATCCTAGATAGAGAAATACAGGAATAGCATCATAGATATAGAAAGACAGGAATAGCATCATAGATACAGAAAGACAGGAATAGCATCATAGATAAAGAAAGACAGGAATAGTATCCTAGATACTGAAAGACAGGAATAGCATTACAGATACAGAAAGACAGAAGTAGCATCATAGATACAGAAAGACAGGAATAGCATCCTTGATGCAGAAAGACAGGAAAAGTATCATAGATACATAAAGACATTAATAGTATCATAGATACAGAAAGACAAGAATAGCATCATAGATACAGAAAGACGGGAATAGTATCCTAGATACAGAAAGACAGGAATAGCATCCTAGATACAGAAAGACAAGAATAGCATCATAGATACAGAAAGACAAGAATAGCATCATAGATACAGAAAGACGGGAATAGTACCCTAGATACAGAAAGACAGGAATAGCATCCTAGATACAGAAAGACAGGAAAAGTATCCTAGATACAGAAAGACAGGAATAGTATCCTAGATACAGAAATACAGGAATAGCATCATAGATATAGAAAGACAGGAATAGCATCATAGATACAGAAAGACAGGAATAGCATCATAGATACAGAAAGAAAGGAATAGTATCCTAGATACTGAAAGACAGGAATAAAATTATAGATACAGAAAGACAGAAATAGCATTATAGATACAGAAAGACAGGAATAGCATCCTTGATACAGTAAGACAGGAATAGTATCATAGATACAGAAAGACAGGAATGGCATCATTGATAATAAACACAGGAATAGTATCATAGATACAGAAATACAGGAATGGCATCATAGATACAGAAAGACAGGAATAGTATCCTAGATACAGACAGACAGGAACATTATCAAAGATGATATTTAGGAACAGTATCAAAGATACATAGACAGGAACAGCATCTAGATACATAACGACAGGAATAGCATCATATATACAGAAAGACAGGAATAGTATCATATATACAAAAAAACAGGAATAGTATTATAGATACATAAAGATGGGAACAGCCTCAAGATACATAAAGATGGGAACAGCATCCTAGATACATAAAGATATGAATAGCATCATAGATACAGAAAGACAGGAATAGTATCATGAATACAGAAAAACAGGAACAGTATCCTAGATACAGAAAGACAGGAACTGCATCAAAGATGATACATAGACAGGAACAGCATCTAGATACATAAAAACAGGAATAGCATCACCAATACAGAAAAACAGGAACAGCATTAGAGATGATACATAGACAGGAAGAGCATCAAACGTACATAAACAGAAACAACATCTAGATAGGTAAAGACATGAATAGCATCATATATACAGAAAAACAGGAATTGTATCATATATACAAAAAGACAGGAATAGTATTTTTTTTTTTAACGTATCCAGAAACCATGAGTTGTAAACCCTTTGGCTCGGTACTATGGATATCGCAACCCTTCGGCATTGATTCCATTATAGATACCGTTAATCTGGGAGAAATGTGGCTTTTCTGCCTACCCCCGGGAGTGAACCCGGACCACAAGGAGTTCGTCACCCGGCCACCGCGAAAGTCAGGTTTAACCAACTTCGCTAGAGAGCCGGGCTTGGAATAGTATTAAAGATACATAAAGAAGGGAACAGCATCCTAGATACATAAACAGGGGAACATCATCCTAGATACATAAACAGGGGAGCAGCATCCTAGATACATAAAGATGGGAACAGCATCCTAGATACATAAAGATGGGAACAGTATCCCAGATACATACAAATGGGAACAGCATCCTGGATACATAAAGATGGGAATAGCATTCTAGATACATAAAGATGGGAACAGCTTCCTAGATACATAAAGATGGGAACAGCATCCTAGCTACATAAAGATGGGAACAGCTTCCTAGATACATAAAGATGGGAACAGCTTCCTAGATACATAAAGATGGGAACAGCATCTAGATACATAAAGACAGGAATAGCATCATATATACAGAAATACAGGAACAGTATCACAGATACAAAAAGACAGGAATATTTTTATAGATACATAAAGATGGGAACAGCATCCTAGATACTTAAAGATGGGAACAGCATCCTAGATACATAAAGATGGGAACAACATCCTAGATACATAAAGATGGGAAAGGCATCCTAGATACATAAAGATGGGAACAACACCCTAGATACATAAAGATGGGAACAGCATCCTAGATACATAAAGATGGGAACAACATCCTAGATACTTAAAGATGGGAACAGCATCCTGGATACATAAAGATACGAACAGCATCCTAGATACACAAAGATAGAAATAACATCTCAAAGATCTATTTCTATGTCGACGTTTGTTAGTGGCCGAAGCAAACTGCTTGTGGTCTTTCACATACGGGGTATGTATGAGCAAGAGCACTATAGGGGTATGTGTTGACAAGACCACTATACGGGGTATGTGTTGACAAGAGCACTATACGGGGTATGTGTTGACAAGAGCACTATACGGGGTATGTATGGACAAGAGCACTATACGGGGTATGTGTTGACAAGAGCACTATAGGGGTATATATGGACAAGAGCACTATACGGGGTATGTGTTGACAAGAGCACTATGCAGAAAGCCAAACAAGAACATGAAACCATTAAAGAATGGATGTCGTCAGCCACTACACGCTGCGAGATTTACTGAGGAGGGGATCGGAGCACTTATGGACTGAATGGTTTTGACGTTCAGTCAGGATAATCTGTCAACTATGACAAAGTTGTCTTGAAAAATGCTCCATCGACTGCCTTCAAAAAAGCGGAAATGTATGTTGGCATTCCCATGTATCTGCGTGATCTCCCTTCGTAGCTAGATTTAGCCCCAAGGTTGCTGGGTCATCATCATCATCCTGTAGCAAGTCCTGTGCTGAACGTCGCTCTCATCACGGTGTGTCTGAAGAAACTCTGTTTCTCGCCAGCTCTACTGCTTCGTGCATTTTCATTTCCAAAGGTTTACTTATATCCTGTGCCCATCTTCGCTCTAGTCAGTCCCTGCCCTTTCTTCTTGGTACCGTGCTTTTCTGGGTTCCCCCCCCCCCCCCCCAATTCGCCGTGGAGCTTGACATTAGCCAGTCTTCCTTGAAGTTTAGGTCTTTTAGAATGTCGGCATTTCTTCTCTTTTCTGTGCATTTCCGAAAATCTGCCTATAGCATTTCAGCTGAAAAGCTGCTAAAGGACTGAGAGATAGTCCACGCCTCACTCGTGAAGTTCTAGTTGCGGTTTTCCATTGGCTGAATCTACAGACAGGAATGGTATTTCCTAAAACTCTCCGAGCTGCTGGGTGCCTGTAGAAATGTCTGAACACGAGTGCAGACAACTAGGAAACTTAGTAGAAGGGCAATTCTCTAACATCATCTGTTAACACATTGGGTGGGGGGGGGGGAGACTCCCTCTATGTCCTGGTTAAATAGAATGACGTCATGTTTCTCACTGAAGTAGCAGGAGAGAGACCCAAAAGGTAAAAGTTGTTGTGGATGGTAGTGTATTATTTGTGGTACAATTGCCCACTCGATGCAGCTTCTGGTGATAATTGCCAACTGTAAACATGGTAACCAACGGTAAACATGGTAGCCAACGGTAAACATGGTAGCCAACGGTAAACATGGTAGCCAACTGTAAACATGGTAGCCAACTGTAAACATGGTAGCCAACTGTAAACATGGTAGCCAACGGTAAACATGGTAGCCAACTGTAAACATGGTAGCCAACGGTAAACATGGTAGCCAACTGTAAACATGGTAGCCAACTGTAAACATGGTAGCCAACTGTAAACATGGTAACCAACTGCTGTTGTCTAGGAGAGAACACTTGCTGTCCAGGGAATCACGGGATACCAAGTACAATATTGTCTAACTACAGCGCACAAGGAAACACAAAACATGATGATGACAATAATAATAATAAAATTCATAATAATAATAATGAGAAGAAGTCAATGTTTATTATATTCTACAAATGTCCTGTCGCTTTCGTCTATACAAAAAAATAGTAATTCTACCTCATTATCCTACAGGCGATATGTAAAGTCTACAACGGCAAACTGGCAGAGATTGAAACTTTTGAAGAAAACGAATTCCTTAAGAATCTGGCTAAGTCAAAACAAGGTATGAACAATAGCGTACCACTAAAGTGCTTTTATGTATAACATTGTTCTATGCTGAGAATGACAGCTCAGAACACTTTGTGTGTGGGGTTTTTTCTTTGGGGAGGGTCGGGGTAAAGGACTTTGATGGTCTTGGTGCATCGGTCCCTGAATTATCAGTTTCCCTGTGTCCTGATTTCTTGGTGTGCCAATGATTGGTGACAGAAATGTTACCAGTTGACATGGATCATCCACAATAACATTCATATACAGATTGCTTGGATGTTGTATATGATACTAATTACATAGATGATTAGTTAGTTCGTTAGTCAGTCGACACATCGTCACTTGAGTTCTATCGTCCATCCAGAATAGGGGTCTATTTAAGATGTTCTCTAGACAACAGGATTGTTAGAGCCGATGTCTGAAGTCTCACAATAGATGGTAGAAACGTCAAAACACACACACACACACACACACACACACAAACATAAATATACACACACACACAGAGAGAGAGAGAGAGAGAGAGAGAGAGAGAGAGAGAGAGAGAGGATAAAGGGAGAGAAAGAAGGCAAACTGAAGAATCTGGTAGTCATATTTGACACCTGCCAGTGTATCAGTTCTTTCATTACCAACAACACCCGCATGCCCTGGGAGGAATATGAAGGTAACTGCACACACAGGAGAGTTTTGCAATGACTCAAACCACTGTCTGCGTAACCAGCCTGCCTCGAATCGCCGGATCATGCTCAAAGAATCACTCAGCATACACACGCGGGAATAGTCCTGTGATCCCAGCCGCACGAAAGCTTGTGTCACCGCCATCACCTCCATCGTCATGTTGCTTGTGGTCATGGAGAAGGCATTGTTGGCTTTTTCAGCTGTTGTGCGTAAATAGAGAGCTGTAAATGCCCATGCACTTTTATATCCTCGTATAACCACATCTGTCTCATCTGACGTGTCACTGATAAGCGCGCAGACCTGGGCATTGATGATTCTGCTCCCGACTACTCCTATCAAACATCAGGACACAGGAGAATGTGAGATTGGGCGCTTTAAACGCTGGTGTTCATTCCTCACCTAGACGGATGTCTGTAAAGCTGCAGACCTCCATGATGTCATCCTCTGCCCCACCCAGCCATGATTCACAACACGCAATAGCAAATGCAGACAGTAAACATTGCAGCTCTTCCTCCGAGTAGGTGGGGGGTTTGTTTCTGCAAACAGCAGCTCTTCGATAAGTACCTCTCTCATCTTGGTTTTGGTCTTTAGCCTACGAGCAATACAAAGACTTCCGTCAGTTCGAAATTTAATGAATATAGCACATGTGGATATTCTATCCTTTTGAGGCTGGTTTTCTCTCAGAACGCCTCCTCTCTATAGCTTTGGCCTTTCTCAGAATGTGATTTTCTTTCACTGTCTGTCTCCAAAGGAGTCGGTCTGCAGCTGATATCTCACAAGGGTCTGTGTCAATATTCATATCACTGAGGTCACATTGGCATGTGTCCCTTATATCGTAGCTTTGGCCTGCCTATGTGTCTTATCCCTGTTGCAAGTTCACCATAAACGAGATCCTTTAGAATTCGACCATGCGAGTGATATAGTCCAACAGCAAGCTTTTTTGCTTCAGTAGAAAGTACATAATTAGTATTCCTGGTCTTTCGAGCAGACATTCATTGAGGACAAATTTACCTTAAGCCCTGAGTACCCAGCCAGGCAAAGAGACCGTGTCGAGACGCCAACCATGTGTGACTGGTGGCTGTCCAGCTGAGGCGGGCGGTAGCTGTCCAACGAGATGTCCGAAGATCTCTTCCACCGTCGGTAGCAACCCCTGGCATCTGGCTCTACGCTAGCCGAGCACCCGTAACTACTGCTACCTGTGTTGCCTCGACGTTGATAACGGACGCTGGAGTTACCAGGGCACATATATGGGCATGCTGAATTGGAGTACCAGCTGTCACCGCTAATAATCATAAATGATTATATGTTTATGAGTTCTCTCCCCCCCCCCTCCCCCTTTACACCCCCCCCCCCTTTTCCGAAAAAACAAACATTTTCATGCTGTGTCGATCAACATTCAAACGCAATAAAATTGCTACAACGAAACGGATTATGTATAAACGAATAAAACCACCCACACGTGGGTATTATAATATAACATAGAATCGTTTATATCCCAGATGAGTGCATTCTAATATAGCTCCAAATTGTATTATCCTTGTGATATCTCTAGCTGACCGCGTCCTGTTGGGTGGAACAGACATGTTTAGTGAAGGCAGCTGGGAGTGGTCCAGTGGCGGGAAACACATCTTTCCGTTCGTGGACTGGGCGCCAGGTCAGCCAGACGACAGTTCAGGTAAGAAATACCAGACACGGCGGTCAATGAAGCCAGACAAATGATCTGTCAGACATGCAGACATGTTAAAGGCCAAGTTACAAGAAACACACACACACACACAAATAAACTAACAAATGGCAGGTGAAAAGACACAGTCACATTTATATATGAATATATACTTACATAATACACATACATTTATATGTGTCTGTGTGTATGTATGTAGTCGGCTCTGTGGCTAAGTCGATGCGAACGCTTCGTAATGCCGGGGTGCCGGGTTTGATCCCAGCTGCGGGCCATGCGCCTTGCGTTGGTTTCAACAGTGATATCAGGGGGCCGACCGTCCAGAAGAAATGGCAAACTCCTAGACGTAAATTTGCTTAGAGAAACCACACAACAGCCAGAGGCTGCTGGGGTTGGTTCTGCAACGTCCTGTAAAGGATACGCAACTAACCTGTATGTATGTAAGTATATACGTATATATTTGATTCATATAAACGTGACTGTGTCTGTGTGTTCGCATATATATGTATATACACACCCAATTTTACTGTGTACATTGAAAATATCTGGTGATAATGCACATCTTTGTTCAATGCTTTGTTTAGTGTTGTCAAAAATTCATACTTGGTTCTCAATTCTAATTGACATTTAGTTATGCTCAGATCTTTACTGTCGATTTTAATCGTTTTAAAAATTCTAATAATTAAGGGCTAGGCCTTTTTTTTAATAGACAAACTGGCACAATATGGGGGATGTGGTCAGCACCACGCCGGCCGCCTTCACTTCCCAGGTCTGCCCCCGGTACCCACTTAAGGCTGGGTCGAGCTAGGAGCCAAGGTCATATTTTTAAAACGTCCGGCTCCGCTAGGGAGCGAACCCACGACCTTTCGATCCGCGGCGAGCTTCTAGTCGCTCGGCCACGACTCCCTACCCCAAATATACGCCCCAGTTACTACCAGCAACGAGACGGGGGGACTGCATTCATCCATGTCAATTCCCCCCACGGAGGTATCAATTATAAAGTATTAAATGTATAAATAAGTATAACTAAATTGACAACAGTTACAGGGATCTCCTTCAAATCATCTGTGAGTAGCTTTGCTGTCAAGTCCATGCAGAAGGAGAGATCAAGAAACATAACTCCGCAGTCAGATGAGAGTTTATAAGATGGTTCAGCCAAGAGAATGGGTACATGTACCCCATCAGGACATCACACAAAGCCATAAACACCCAGTGACACAAAGTGCCACCAGACGGATGAGGATCACGGAAACCCCGTTCAACCGTCAGGTTATATCAGGGCCCCCGGCAACAACCAGGGAGGGGCTACAAAATAACCAACCATTTTGACCCTCAAGGGAACGGCAAGTTTTAGCCAAGAGAGCGGTGAGGGACAGGGGAAGAGGAATATACATAGAATGCCCAAATGGTTTAAACACTTTATAAGTTTTACCAACAGATTCATATTCTTCAATTTAAATAGCAGAGGCAGTTGTACTTCTGGTGCATGTTCTTCCCTGAATGGATAACAGCACAGCAAATATAGCAGAGTGGTCTTTCTGACTGATGCTATGTCAGTTCTACAAGCAATTGTTAACCCATATGACAGACACTTTGTAGACTTGACGCAACATCTGATTTGTTTAGGATTTTCAGTAGAACAATCTGTACTGCATTAGATTCCAGGTCACTTTGGCTTGGGAGGCAATGAAATAGGGGACAGACTGGCTAGAAGTGGCATGGATATAGTGCTGCTAGATGGCTGAATGGGTGAATAGACAGACAGACAGACAGACAGACAGACAGACAGACAGACAGACAGACAGACAGACAGACAGACAGACAGACAGACAGACGGACGGACGGACGGACGGACGGACGGACGGACGGACGGACGGACGGACGGACGGACGGACGGACGGACGGACGGACGGACGGACAGACAGACAGACAGACAGACAGACAGACAGACAGACAGACAGACAGACAGACAGACAGACAGACAGACAGACAGACAGACTTACTCAATGGTCGAATGAATAACTAGTTTGTACTAATTCTTCGTGAAACTAAGTATTGCACTAATACAGTGTATTGCAAATGGACCGACAGACAGAGTGATGGACATACTATTTCGTCTCCAGGAGAGGACTGTCTGACCTTCTCCAGGGACAACAAGTACCAATGGAACGACTTTCACTGTGAGCAGGCTGCCTACTTCATCTGTGAGGCTCCGTAAGTATAGTCACTAACTCGAGGTCATGGTCAGGTTTTTTGTTTGTGTTGTTGGAAAAACATTACACAGAGTTGGGAGTGATCAGTTGGATAACGTACAGAGTTAGTGGTGACCAGTTAGATAACGTACAGAGTTGGGGTGGGGGGAAGCAGGCTGGACAACACACAGTAAATGGGGGAGGGGGAGGGGGAGGTAAGCTGGGTAACACCTAGAGTTAAGCGTGACCTCCTGAATAGCGTAACACAAGGTCTCTAACTCATTGACCAGGCTTTAGTTGCCTAGTAGCAGGATAGCTTGTGCCAATCATCTGAGGCTATAAGCCGATAATTGACTTGTTATGTTTTTTTGGTTAAGGAGAAACCATAGAAATAATGAGTATGTTATCTCACCACAGAATCTTGTGTATGGTATTTTACCATCTTATATCTAAGTGTGTAACTGTTACACGAATGAATGAATGAATGAATGAATGAATGAATGAATGAATGAATGAATGAATGAATGAATGAATGAATGAATGAATGAATCAGCCTGCTGGTTACCTCCTGGTTACCTCTCTTGATCTGGGTCTTATCGAGTTATGAAAGCCACTCTGATCACAGGACGCCAGTTTCTATTTTCCGAAGCATGCTCTGTGATTCTGTTACAATTGCCACATGTCGAGCTGTGCTGTTCTCAAGCCACCAGAAAGCTGCCGCTACTGCCCCCACCTCCATCCTCATGCTGGATGTAGTGACGTTGCACTGCAGTCTCTCAGTTTTCAAGCAGAGTTAACTCACTTTTGCAACAAAACCCCACCTAGTTATTTTACCTCCCACCACATACCCATCTGTATATATTTAACAGATGTACAGAGTATATGGGAGAATTGTGTGATGATAATAGGCCAGACAACATCTCACTGGAAGAAATCTAAGCACTGGGAGATTTGGAACTGAAATAATAATTAAACTTTTAAATGATTTTTATAATAGTGGGTATAATCTAAATGACCTTTTAAAATCCAGATTTATAGCTCTGCCAAAGAAACCAGGCACTTTAAAATGTGAAGACCATCGCACGATAACTCTTATATTGTACTGAAAATAAATATGAGAAGAATAAGAAACAAAATTAAACCAGAAGTCAGCGATGAAAAATGTGGATTTGTAGAAGGAAAACCTCCCGAGGATATTGTCAGAAAGAGATATAGAAGTAAAGACTGATTTGTACTTATGCTTCAAATACTATACAAAAGCATTCGATTGTGTGCGGCATACAGAAGTAAACTGTTAGAAAAATTAAACAAGGATGTCTACTGTCACCTGATTTGTGTTCACTATACAGTGAATATATAATATCTTTAATTGGTATGCCAGGAATTGTGGTTGGTGGGCACAATATAAACAATTTACGTTATGCTGATAGCAAAAAGTCAGAAAAAAACAACAGGAAATGATAGACATTGTGGTGTTAGAAAGTGGAAGAATGGGCCTCAGTTTGAATAATGGGAAGACAGAAGTAATTGTGATATCAAAGAAACGAATTATTCCTAAATGTGTAATAAAAGTCGATGGTGTTATTTTGGGACAAATACAGAAATTTAAGTATCTGTGCACATGGACAACATCAGATGGAAGATGCATAACTGAGATAAGAAATAGAATGGAACAGGCAAAAATTACATTTTATAAAATAAAGAACATCTTATGCAATATATCTTTGTCATTGAGAGTTAGATCAAGGTTCTTGCTTGCTACATACATCCAGTTTTAACATATGGCTGTGAGTGCTGGACAATCGGTAGGCAGGCCAAACAATTTCTTGAGACTTCAGCGATGTGGTTTTACAGAACAATGTTAAAAATACCTTGGACGCCCCCCCCCCCCCCCCCCCCCGCCCAAAAGAAAAAAAAAACCAAGAGGTTTCTATAGAGGCGGAAGCCCGAAGACAACTTTTCACAGACATCAGAAAGAGACAGTCATCATTTTTTGGCCATCTTATGAGAAGAGGGAAAATAGAACATATTGTGACCACTGGAAAGATATGTGGAAAGAGGGATAGAGGAAGACAACGAGAGAAGATTCTTGACAGTCTTGTTGCATGGCATAGAGGTGTGTCAGCACACGAACTGATATATGCTGCAAGAGATTGCAGATTGTGGGGAGGCATGATCGCCAACGCCAGTCGGCAAGGCACCTGATGATAATGATGATATATTATTACGTCACCTAGACGTGAATTCTCATTGATCATCTCTTGCACCACTGTTACTGTTTCTCCAGCTATCCATTCCGGGCACCCTCTGCCCAATGTAACTATCACTTTGTGCACGTCTGTTTTGCTAAGCGCCAGGGTAACCCGTTCGTCACCACACGCTATCTTCTCAGTAGTACAACCAGTTCTTATCGTGACTTTTGAATGTGTCAACCAAGAGCCACGTCTTTTCAGGCGATGTCCCTTGCTATTGCCCAAGGCCCCATGCAGAAGGTGTTCCCTGCAAATTTCGACTTGATGGTACATTTTCACCTGTAAAACTTTTTATCTCTCAATAACGGATGATCTTGTGTGCGATAGTCACTACGAGGCATAAAGAGTGAATGAAGCTAGGGCTTTAAGAAGCATGGGCACACTGAGCCACTAAATGCTGCCAAACAGAGGTTGCTAGACGTTCACGAGTGACTGCAAACAGCCAGCGTTGTATAGAGTATGTGTGATCTACGTGCACCTGACCACTGTTGGCCGGAGTGCGTGATATTTGAGTCAGTTAATCAGCTTTCAATCGGTCTAAGTGTGTTGACATGTGCGCGAATTGTGGTGTGACAGTTTGAACAATGTTTTTTCATGGATCATCTCTTCTACTTCGTATTATCTAGAATAGACTTGTGCCAGCTATTTGCATGGGGTCGGCATAGTTGCGGCTATGTGGCGCGCCGGTTGACGGGGTGTCTTTAAGTGCACAGAAAATGCTTGAGAACTGTGTGTGTGTTGGCAAAAATGGAGTTGTAATGGGGAGTTATCGGAAGCTAGTTAACTGGATGGTAATCAGAGATACTTCAGTGAGTGAATGGATGAATGAAGAAATAAAAAGAAAGAAAGAAAGAGAAAGAGCGAGCGAGAGAGAGAGAGAGAGAGAGAGAGAGAGAGAGAGAGAGAGAGAGAGAGAGAGGAAGAAAGAAAGAGAGGAAAAAGAAAGAAAGAAAGAAAGAAAGAAAGAAAGAAAGAAAGAAAGAAAGAAAGAAAGAAAGAAAGACTGAAAGTAGGTTGCTTAAGCTTGTCATTGTTGATATTGTAGTGTTTATTTTCAGACGCCTAGACCCCATCGTTGGGTGAGCTTCACTCAGAAGGACACATGGACCACCGCCGGCTCCCAGCTTTAAGGATAACCAGGTGAACGGAAATTCCCGTTTTTTGTGAAAGTCAGAGAGGCCGGTCTGTGCTCATTTGTATCGAGTAGATTTTATACACAAATTTAACTGTATATTTCATTGAATTACATATCTTTTTGAAGATAAATAAGTGTGCTATTAATACATGAGTCAGCATGAACACACATATAAATAACAGAGCAATAAACTAAAAGTTACTCTAGCAAAAAGAAAATTAGTGCTAACTTTTGATTCTGATGGGTACTGCATCAGAAGATGTAGGAAGGGGTGTGAAATTTGTACTTTAACCAATTTAACAAATTAAAAAAGATCATTCAACTGCAACTGATGTGCAGAATACACATATCATACACAAAATGAATAAAATTATTGCGTATTAATATTACTATTAGTAGACTAAAACAGCATATACTTATACTATTAGGTAATAATTAGCAAACAGTCAAGTGACTTGCTTTAAAAAAGTCAGTAATTTATGAACATGTTTTTCTTAATGCCGTGTCAATATGAAAGTGATATGTGCAATAATTTTTGTTTCAGAGCAGTTTTCTTAACAGTACTATAGCACTATTAAATCTGTATCCTCAATGCACAAACAGCAAAAACAAATTTGTCTAATTTCATCTTGTTTGTTGAAATCAATTCATCATCATTGTGGATTTTTCTGTAACTGTTTAAAAATATATTTCACATATTCCTGAATACTGCAAGCAACAACGCATTTGTTTACCAACAACAAATATAGCAATATAAGCTAATAATGTCTCCATGCCTTCAACACAAAACAAATCACAGACATTAGGGAAATAAAAGTGAACTAAAACTCCCATGCAATAATACATTGCTAAACTGCAGCTTGAAGTAGCTTATTTCCCTACAGCAGTAGAAACATGTTCTGTATGTCAGATACATGATATTAAAAATATTTACTGTACAACAAGAAAACTTTAAATGACGCCATATCTCCCCAGTTGAATATGGGATACACAGCAATAAGCCTATGACAATTGAAAACATGATGGTAGTTGGTAGCTCTAGAGAGAGAGAGCTACAGGGAAGGATTAAACAGGACATCACAAAAACAGAAGTTAGCATATGTTAAATTTTGTGGTTTGCTGGAGAAGTCATCCTCAGAGGCGGTATGTTTACTTAATAAAGTCTGTCATGTATTGTCAGCCGTGATTTCATTCCTGGAGAGTTACTAAGGAAACGTACGTTAACATCATTCATCGCCCAAGAAATGATGAAGGAAAGAAACGCTATGAAAAGCTGAAAAAAGAAAGATTTGGTTTCTGTGACATGACAACACGCCATCACACGAACCCCTCCTGCTGAGGCAGTAGACGGCAATGCATAATGTGGCTGCCCTGGAATACTGTCCAATTGTCCTGATCTCCAATCGGCTGATTTTTCTCTTGTCCCCTCGCCTGAATTCTGCAATGAAAGGGCACCGATTCAGAGGTGCTAAGACCGTTATCGCTAATGCGACAAGCAGCTGAAAGAGTTGTCAAATAATGGGTTCCATCAGTGTTTCCAGCATCTGTGTGAATTTTAGCAAAGGTGTTAACTGTTCATTTAAAGTCATCTTCGTCATGATCATAAACGCTCCTAGTTCCTTCAAGAGCTTTTCACGCTGACAACTTCCATTCTGTTCCGGTTTATGTAACGACGGGTGGCTCCAGCATGGTTTTCCTGTCCCGCTGCTCCAGTTGGTACACCCGGGGTGTGCAGTCTGCCGGTAACTGTCGCACTCTGTCTGTGCCTGGTTCTGGCCTTTTTTGGGGGGTGCTTGGTGGTAAAGTGCGTAGCTGACGAAGGGAACTGTTGTGAAGAAAGTTTAGTTAAATAATTGAACCGTTACGTATTTCTATACAGTATACAGACCTGGAACTGTTTAAAGCCGCCTCATATAAGACTGCATTAATCTATCAGGACCGTTTCTCACACACTAAATGCTGTGTTTAATTTGTGGGTAAATATAAACATAAATAAACCTAGGTGCTGCCGTGCGCACTCGTTTAGATATGTCAATTTCTCCACAAGAGACTGATGAAATGTGTGTTTTACGCTGGCACAAGAGCGGAGCATATATGGGATGATCGGTTTGCTATGAAGCTGAAACTAAGATTACCAAATTACTCCTAGCCAACAAATCTGAAAGTCGGCAAATATATAACTGGATTATTATTGGATTAGTACCTTTTAAACAAAAAGTTAGATATTTGTTAGAACGAGTCATAAATTAATTGAGTGGATTCCAAAAGCACAGTCCAGTGACGCTGGTTGCAGACCTCCCGACTTGACCTTTTAGCTTTTTAGCCCAGTCAGTTTAACACAGATTGCATGATCTGTTCCTAGCACAGCTCAGAGTCTTGTCCATACGTTGTTTGTGAAATTGACTGTGATGTTTACATATTAACATATTGTGTTGATGGGTTGTCAGTGTAAACATGTAAGCTATTAAAGTTTTGAAACAGAGGTTGCTTGATATTAACGAGTGACTGAGTCAGTTGCTTTGCAGTACGTCAAAGTGTGTAGACTTATGCGCGCATTGTTCATGTCCTATAGACGCTTGAACTTATGTGACAGTTCTAATTATATGTTTTATTCTGTTTGAGTCCTGAATTTGTCGAGTGAATTTAGTGAATCACATGCTAGACTGCGTAATTCTGGCAGAGTGATTTCCTAGAATGGACTTGTATAGACAATGTTTGTAGGGCACAGTTGCGGCTATGCGGCTCCCCTGATTGACGTAGTGTCAAGTGCTATTGTTGACCAGCGTGGATTTGTGATGGGGAGGTATCGGAAAGCTAATCGGCCCAGGGCGGGGCACCTTAGTTGACTGAATTACCGTGGTTGGCTGGATGTTGATCAGTGATAATGCAGCGACTGATTGGGTAGTAGACGGGGCTCTGGAGTCTTTTCATCAAGCGATACATCTTACTTGGGCTACGGGTGGCGGATCACTTAGATAGGTAACCGTCAGAGGACTGTCATTGCACATTACTTAAATGGATCTGCGCGATCGGGTGGTGGGTCGCCCGAAGTGACACCTATACATAGTCCGTCAGGGTGTTTCGTCGATGTCTGGAGAGACTGCCCATGTAAGTGAATGTGACAGGCTGTAGTAGACCTGAAAGTGAGTCACTGAACACCAATTCATCTTTGCCGCAATGTGTTCGTTCATAATAAAGAGAGTGATGGCACTATAAGATAACATAATTACGATAGGACATGTTTTACGTGCCAGATACACTGTGGCTGTTACGATGTTCTATGTGGATGTTACGATGTTCTATGTGGCTGTTACGATGTTCTATGTGGATGTTACGATGTTCTTTGTGAATGTTACCATGTTCTATGTGGTGGTTACCATGTTCTATGTGGTGGTTACCATGTTCTATGTGGCTCTTACGATGTTTTTTGTTGTTGCTGTTACTATGTTCTATGTGGCTGTTACCATGTTCTATGTGGCTGTTACCATGTTCTATGTGGTTGTTACGATGTTCTATGTGGCTGTTACCATGTTCTTTGTGGCTGTTACCATGTTCTATGTGGCTGTTGCCATGTTCTATGTGAATGTTACGATGTTCTATGAGGCTGTTACCATGTTCTGTGTGGCTGTTACCATGTTCTATGTGGCTGTTACGATGTTCTATGTGGCTGTTACCATGTTCTTTGTGGCTGTTACCATGTTCTTTGTGGCTGTTACCATGTTCTATGTGGCTGTTACCATGTTGTATGTGGCTGTTACCATGTTATATGTGGCTGTTAACGATGTTCTATGTGGCTGTTACCATGTTCTATGTGGCTGCTACCATGTTCTATGTGGCTGCTACCATGTTCTATGTGGCTGTTACCATGTTCTATGTGACTGTTAACGATGTTATATGTGGCTGTTACCATGTTCTATGTGGCTGTTACCATGTTCTATGTGGCTGTTACGATGTTCTATGTGGCTGTTACCATGTTCTTTGTGACTGTTACCATGTTCTATGTGGCTGTTACCATGTTCTATGTGGCTGCTACCATTTTCTATGTGGCTGTTACCATGTTCTATGTGGCTGTTAACGATGTTCTATGTGGCTGTTACCATGTTCTATGTGGCTGTTAACGATGTTCTATGAGGCTGTTACCATGTTATATGTGGCTGTTACCATGTTCTATGTGGCTGTTACCATGTTCTATGTGGCTTTTACCATGTTCTATGTGGCTTTCACCATGTTCTATGTGGTTGTTACCATGTTCTATGTGGCTGTTACCATGTTCTATGTGGCTGTTACCATGTTCTATGTGGCTGTTAACGATGTTCTATGTGGCTGTTACCATGTTCTATGTGGCTGTTAACATGTTCTATGTGGCTGTTACGATGTTCTATGTGGCTGTTACCATGTTCTTTGTGGCTGTTACCATGTTCTATGTGGCTGTTACCATGTTCTATGTGGCTGCTACCATTTTCTATGTGGCTGTTACCATGTTCTATGTGGCTTTTAACGATGTTCTATGTGGCTGTTACCATGTTCTATGTGGCTGTTAACGATGTTCTATGTGGCTGTTACCATGTTATATGTGGCTGTTACCATGTTCTATGTGGCTGTTACCATGTTCTATGTGGCTGTTACCATGTTCTATGTGGTTGTTGCGATGTTCTATGTGGCTGTTACCATGTTCTATGTGGCTGTTACCATGTTCTATGTGGCTGTTACCATGTTCTATGTGGCTGTTACCATGTTCTATGTGGCTGTTACCATGTTCTATTTGGCTGTTACCATGTTCTATGTGGTGGTTACCATGCTCTATGTGGTTGTTAACAATGTTCTATGTGGCTGTTACCATGTTCTATGTGGCTGTTACCATGTTTTTTGTGGTTGTTACCATGTTCTTTGTGGCTGTTACCATGTTTTATGTGGTGGTTACCATGTTCTATGTGGCTGTTAACGATGT